AATTATACCATCAAGCACATATTTAGTTAGTTAACTCTGTGAAGTGAAGTCATGACATAAGCTCATACCGACCTCACCCCGAAGTGGACCTCGGCTTGTTTTTTAGGTGATAGCGCCGAGGTGCATTTGTGAATTCCCGCATGAGCTCGGTCTCTTGTTTTTTATGGTTCGGGTGACTTCGGTATGATCATCGTCTCTATCCATTTCCCCATTGTGCTTTCTCCTCAATTTCACCTTCTCCGTTGTTCGGAGCCAAGCTGTGTCGAGCCCCGCTCAATATTTCTCGTGTCGCCCGGCTGCTAAGAGAAGCGAGCCTCCCTATATCATATTCTTAATCATCGCGTTCATTTGATTTCGGATACCCTAAACCGACATTATGACTGGTCAATCCAAACCTGTGCTGTCGCCATGGGGCAGCGCCGTGGCGGGTGCGACAGGCGCCGTCCTAGCGAACGCGATGGTGTACCCACTTGACTTGTGAGGTCCCAGATAAAACAGTCCTCAAATTATCAGATCAAATCTCGCTGACTCTATCGCTCTTCATCCTGTAGAGTCAAGACAAAACTACAAGTACAAGTCAAGGAGAAGAATGCATCCGTGCAAGCCGACGATGTCGAACATTATGAATCCACCATGGATGCCATCACCAAAATCGTGGGGAAAGAGGGCTATAGTGGTCTGTACTCCGGAATGGTTGGAGCCCTTCTAGGTGTCGCCTCAACAAACTTCGCATACTTCTATTGGTACAGCGTCGTAAGAACGCTCTACGTGACTTCTACCAAGTCGTCTCAGGCTCCCGGCACAGCGATTGAGCTTTCCCTGGGCGCCATCTCTGGTGCCGTGGCTCAGATTTTCACTATCCCGGTGGCCGTTATTACAACCCGGCAGCAGACACAGCCAAAGGGCGATAAGAAGGGGTTGATCGAGACGGGTCGGGAGGTGGTCGAGAGCGAGGACGGCTGGACCGGCCTGTGGCGCGGCCTGAAGGCCAGCTTGATTCTGGTCGTTAACCCGGCCATCACCTATGGCGCATACCAGCGCCTGAAGGAGGTTATCTTCCCGGGGAAGAACAGCCTCAAGCCCTGGGAGGCATTCTGTGAGTAGTGGCAATCATTGGGGTCAACAACGACTTACTAATTATGATTCTAGTGCTTGGTGCCATGTCCAAGGCTTTGGCCACGATTGCAACCCAGCCTCTGATCGTCGCCAAGGTTGGACTGCAGTCTCGCCCACCGCCTAGCCGGAATGGCAAGCCCTTCAAGACCTTTGGCGAGGTCATGAAGCATATTGTTGATAATGAGGGTCTCTTTTCCCTCTTCAAGGGCATTGGACCTCAGATTCTGAAGGGTCTTTTGGTCCAAGGTCTGCTGATGATGACGAAGGAGAGGTATGTGTTTCTGTTCATAATTTCGCATTTGCTTGTGCTAACTCTCGCAAAGGATGGAGCTCCTTTTCATTGTCCTGTTCGCCTACCTCAAGAACATCAAGAAGGATAAATTGCGCAAGGCAGTGGACTTGGCAGCGGAAAAGGCCAAGACTAGCATGCCTGCTACCCTAAAGTAATTGTTTTATAGTCAGACGGAGGGATTTTTCCGAACTGTGTTTACCTAACTGGCGCGTTGGCGTGCCATTGGAAATTCTGGTGGGTTTTGAACAGTCTAGACATTTCCCGGCATTTTCTTGTTGGAAACACTTGATATGATAGAACCTTGTGTTTCCAGCTTTTCAATATCACTATAGATCTGTACATGGTCATGTCATGCCTTACTTGCTTTAGCTCCCATGTAGTACTTGTTTTTGGACGCACTATTTAGCTAGTTACCATATCCCTGGTTATACATGTAGAAAGGTCCTCTATACGGTCAATACATTTTACCACCTTCGTATATTATACCCAAGTAAAGTCTACAACTTCCATGTCAATGGCGAGTATGGTAGTAATGGCCGCTGAGTACCTACATAAGAATGAAAGACATTTGAGAAGCCATGTAGGCATCATTTTGGGCATCATTTTATAACGATCCCTCCAATAGTTAGTTATGTTGTTTACTAATAAGAGGAATTGGTGGTTGCTGCTTTACCGCTTGACTGACCAACTTTTACCCCAACAACTGTCAACACCCCTCACCAAATCCTCGTTCTCACACCACGTAAACTTGCCACTTGTGTGGCATGGGTCGTGATGCGATGGCCGCCATGGAGCTCCGAGTCGACCAATGACGACCAAAAACAAACACCCGGCTCCTGGCTCTCCGCGGCGAACAACCCGAGTTCCATCTTCGACTGGACAGCATTCACAGAAGTCAGAACCATCGTCCCAACCCTCGTCCTGACAAGCGGCATTCTTATCGCAGTGCGCTTCCACCGCCGCTACCTGCGGCGCATCCCCGACGCGCCCAGCATCTCGTCCTCGTATCTTCGACGGCGGAGCATCTTCGGCCAAGTCACAAGTGTCGGTGATGGAGACAATTTCAGGATATTTCATACACCGGGAGGCCGCATGGCTGGATGGGGCTGGCTACCGTGGAAAAAGGTTCCTACTGTGAAGAAGGATCTGAAGGATAAAACCGTTCGTCACCCACCACTCACCTATTCGCTTGCTGCTCAGAACAGGCATAACTATGCCTCTACATATCATACCACAGGCCCATTCTTTATATCTACAAATAGCTTACATATTCACTCAACCCCAGATCCACATCCGCCTCGCTGGCGTCGACGCCCCAGAACTAGCCCACTTCGGCCACCCCGAACAACCTTTCGCGCGAGACGCACACGCCTGGCTAACATCCTACCTGTCAGGCCGGCGAGTTCGTGCCCTCGTCTACCGCCAGGATCAATACTCGCGCGTGGTAGCGAGTGTTTTCGTCCGGCGCGCATTTGACTTTCCGCCATTCCGTCGGCGGGATGTTTCTTACGAAATGCTGAAGCGTGGCTTGGCCACTGTATATGAAGCGAAGGTTGGCTCTGAATTTGGCGGTGAAAAGATGGAGAAGAAATATCGCAAGGCCGAGTGGCAGGCTAAGAAGCGAGCCAGGGGGCTTTGGAAGGATTATGGTCGTGTCGGGTCTGCTTGGGAGAGTCCGAGGGAGTATAAGAAGCGGATTGGTATGGAAGATCCTCCTCCGATGGAGAAAGGGAAAGGGAATGGGAATGGGAATGGGAATGGGAAGGGGAAGGGGAAAACCGGGCAGAAATAGATGAATGGGTCGCGGTAAGCTGGGCTTGCGATTGTGGCTATGAGCGTTTATATGTTGTTTTTTTTATGTTCTGGCATTTGCATTTGCATGTGACGAGATGGCACGACTACCATTTCACTATACAGCGTTGTACATGTATGGATAGTATGCGACAATCATGATCAAATCGCACTTTGAATGCTGAATATGACACCAAGTTTCGTTAATCTATACATGCGCGGGGGGTTTTGTTCCAAACCAGGCCCCAATTTCTAAATGGACATCAAGACTCGAGTAATCCGCCTATAGATTAGGAGAATACAACGACAAAAGTCAGTATGCAGGCTATTATTTGCTCAGCAGAACCGCCGCTCAACCTCAGCGAACAATTTTGGGCTAATTTCGTTGGAGCTATTACCCTCCGCATGGAATAGACACCCTTGACGGTCATAATGCTCCAGGAGGGATTTGCTCGTCTCCTCAAACTTCTGTAGGCGCTGTTTCCATGTATCGAGAGAATCGTCCTCTCGCTGCGTAAGCGGCTCGCCCGTGACATCGTCTCTGCCTGGCACCTTTGGTGGATGGAAGTCTGTATTATACACGCGCCCTGAGGGCTCGTGGACCCAGCGTGATGCGATGCGGGCGAGAATCACTGATGGAGGGGTGATTATGTGCACGACAAAGTTGACCGATACTAGGCTGTCCAAGGCTATTGCCTGAGTTGCGGTACGGGGAAACCCGTCGAGAATAAATGAGGCAGAGGGATCGATTGTGTGGGCTGATGAGGAAGTATCGGCTGAAGAAGATGACGAGGATGTTGCGGATGGTGAGGATGGGAGTGGTGGGAGGAGCCAGCCCTTAGATTTCATATCATCGGAGATCAATTTCAGGATCATTGAGTCGGGAACAAGGTTGCCGGACTGCATTGTGGCCTCGGCTTCCAGGCCTATTACTATGTTAGAAATCTCTGCTCTGTACGAAACTGCGCCGTTGCTCATTCTACTTACCGAGGGGTGTGCGTAGGCGCACATTTTCTCTCAACAGATCACCTGAGCTGATGGAAGCCAGCTGTGGAAATCGGGATAGCAGTCGCTCAGACTGTGTCCCTTTTCCTACTCCAGGCGCGCCAATCAAGATGATCCGCGCGGCCTTACGGAGCTTCTTTGTCACATGCGACATAATATGGGATGGCTGATGCTGAGAGCTGAGGTTCAAGGTTGCTGGAACGGAGAATTCGACGGTTTCAAATGCTGGGGATGCGGGAGGAACGACGGGGAGAAAATATGCACAAGATCAGGACAGCATAATGGATTGAAGGGAAGAGTGAAGGCCTGGGATTAGAAACAACCGGTCGCATATCTCCAAGGCTAACTCTTTTGAGAATGTTGCTTCTGCGGGGATGCCCGGGGAGGTTGATCTTTTCGGCTATCGGTGAAGACTCCGAGGTAAGCTGTATGGCAGCACTCAAGTCTATGTAGGTAATTATGAAAATATTATACGAGAACATAACATAACTACCCCGAGTGAAGATCAAATACTTATATATCTACTTACATGGCTCGGTATAAATGCTCTTTTCACATGTCGTGCCACATGGTCGTAGAAAACGCTCTGATCGGGGAAAGCCACCACCCGTGCTCAGGCCAAGCACCCCAGGGAGCCCCAGGAAGCCCCCGGGGCCCCAGGGCTGGGGTACAGTATTACGTAATATGCGCCAAACGATTTTCTTTCACGTGATTCTACGCGTGGGACGCGTTCGCGTTGACCAATTTAGTGCGGAGATCTCATACATTCGTTTCTCGACAACACAATACCTACACCATGATTCGACAAGACGTCCATCGCATTGATCCCAAACGACGGGCTGTTATTGACCCTAGAAAAAGACAATTTGCTACCCCAGCGTACAAGCAGCAGGACTATGCTCACCGTCTGAACATTTATGAAATACCTCCTACCGCGGAGATCACCCTCGAACAATTCGAGCAATGGGCCATTGACAGACTGAAAAGTATGCAAATTTACACCTTCTCATTGTATTTCTACCCACTAATACCAAACAGTCTTGGCCGAAATCGAAGCATGCTCTTATAGAAACAAATCCCCCGCCGAGACGGCGACCTACATTACACCCCTGCTACAGAAATTCCTCCCTCTCTCCTCCAATACATCCTCTCCCTCTGGCGCTGCAGACCCCCGCTTGAAAAATGAGCGCCAAAAGGACCATTACTCCCATTTCATCCTCCGGTTGGCGTTCTCGGCCACAGAGGACCTCCGTCGGCGTTTCGCCCGCGCCGAGACCATGCTGTTTAGATTTCGTTTCCAGCAGGACGACTCGAGGGAGAAGCGCGCATTCATCGATAGCTTGAATCTCGATTGGGAACCTGTGGGTGACTTTGAAAAGACGGAGATTGCGGAAAGTCTCCTCAGCTCCACGCCCGGGCTGCGTCGGCTTGATGATGAGACCTGGTATAAAGTCGATTGGGAGAAGGTTCCCGAACTGGTCGAACGGCGCGCGGTTTTCCTGAAAAAAGGCAAAGCTTATGTTCCTGGTCGAGAGCAGCTGAGCATGATCATGGCTGAGTTTACCGCTCGCTTGGAGCGCGCACTCGAGGTATGTCTGCAGTGGTGACGCTTAATACATGAAATCTCGTGGCTGATTAATTCTAGCTCACGAGTCGTGCCCTCCCTCGTTTGGACGAGGATGATCGTCTAACGCCTATTCTCAATCATCTTTCAAAGAACTTCGGCAGCGCCGAGTCGGTATACTCGGAAGGCGAAGGGTATGTGGACGGATCTCCGATCACGGCCAGCTCCATCGACCAACTGGCCCAACAGCATTTCCCGTTGTGCATGAAGAGCTTGCACGTGAACTTGCGCAAGAACAACCACCTGAAGCACTTCGGTCGACTACAGTATACGCTCTTCCTGAAGGGTATTGGCTTGTCCTTGGAGGAGTGTATTTTGTTCTGGCGTCAGTCGTTCAAGGGCAAGACCGATGACGAGTTCAACTCCCAATACAAGTACAATATCCGTCACGCCTATGGCGAGGTCGGTGGGGATGTGAATCGTCGCGGAAAGGGCTATACTCCCTACTCGTGCCAGAAGATCCTCGGCGATTCGAATCCCGGCATTGGCCAGACTCACGGCTGTCCCTATCGCCATTACTCTGTTGATAACTTGGTGGGCTTCCTCCAGGCCACTGGCGTCAATGACAAGGAAGTCCTGCGGGGTGTGCGTGAGGACGTTGGTAAGATGCGGTATCACATTGCTTGCAACAGAGTGTTCGAGGCGACACACAAGAATGAGATCAAGAAAGTCAAGGAGGATGGCTCGTGGAGTCAGACTGACCTTGACACAATTGTTCATCCTAACACCTACTTCAAGCGCAGCTTCCTGTTGAAGCAGATGACCAAGGCCCCGAAGGATGCTTAGGGTGTCTTTTCACATGTCAAATTCTCATGATATAATGTCGGGCAGTTTCCCAGTTTTCTGTTTTATAGTCGGCGTTTAGAGGGAGCATAAGCTTGTACGAGCACATTTGAAGCAGGTGGAATTGAAGCAAGATAATATATATTCTAACCATTATGGTATACAAAATGGGAGTGTGACCACAGCTGATTCCCAGAGAATCGGAAAGGATCAGAATGACCTCTCAAATCCAGGTGCCCAGCAACGGGTCAAGTCGTTCTCCGCTCAACGAGTGGACAACTTTGCCATGGAATGACGGAAGTTGTCGATATTAACATGTTTGCACACATTGTAGGCTGGCGTGAAATTGAAGAAGAAAAAGAAAAGAGCAGAAGAAACTGCGGACGAGCCGAGTTTTAAGGATGTTTTGATCCGGGAGGCGGTAGAGACCAACTGTGCTGCAACCTGGCCTTACTCACGGATTGGACCTCCACACAACATACTCCTCCATCTCGTTCATTCAATCCCTAGCTATTAAACGGGACTCTGATTTCTTTTGGGACTGGATTATGCTCCGGGTGGCTCACTTGCTTTAATTTCTTGGAGTAGACCCTAAATTTCAAGGTTCCCTCTCCTCGCGACTTCTCGGTATCCGCATATACCCCCTCCCTTTGTCAACACAGGACCGAGTCCCGGAACATCTACCTACAAGATGGATTACGAAGCGCTCAAGGATCAATGGAGCGATGTGGAGGACCGCGATGGCCTCAGGCTCAGTTGGAACACTTTCCCGAGCACTCGTATGGTTCGTGATAGTGGCCCTCTCTGACCTTCACCGCATCATCCGCTGATACTTGATATAGGAAGCGTCCCGCTTGGTCGTTCCCATCGCCGCCGTGTACACACCGTTGAAGGAAAAGCCCGACGCTCCCTTGCTACAATATGAGCCCGTTACTTGCAAGCAGCCCTGCCGAGCTGTGCTCAACCCATATGCGTACGTGACATGTCGATCTGATATACCTCAATGAGTAGATGGACTGACGCTTGGACAGCACTGTCGATGTCCGCGCACGAGTCTGGATCTGCCCCTTCTGTCTCTCGCGCAACCCTCTCCCTCCGCATTACAAGGATATTACAGAGAACACGATACCCCCAGAGCTCCACCCCCAGAGCACGACAATCGAGTACCAATTGGCACGGCCAGCCCCCGCTCCCCCCATTTTCGTCTTTGTCGTCGATACCTGCCAGGAGGATGATAGTCTGCAGGCTGTGAAGGATTCCCTCATCATGAGCTTGTCTCTTCTGCCGCCCAATGCGCTGGTTGGTCTGATTACGTTCGGTACAATGGTAGGCAATGATGATCTTCGCAACGCAGGTGACATGTTATTGACCTTGATATATAGGCCCAAGTTCACGAGCTCGGCTACATCGAATGCGCCAAGTCATACGTGTTCAGAGGCAACAAGGAATACAACGCCAAGCAGGTTCAAGAGATGCTGGGCCTATCCGGTGGCGTGCGCCCCGGTGTTCCCCAACAACAGCCAGCTCGTCCTCCTCTTGGCCCGGCTGCGCGCTTCCTCATGCCCGTTCAACAGGCTGAGTTCCAGATCACCAATGTCCTCGAACAATTGCAGCGCGATCCCTGGCCAGTGGCCAATGACAAGCGTCCCCTACGCTGCACCGGTGTTGCCCTGAGCGTTGCCGTCGGTCTGCTTGAGAGTTCCTTCCAGAACGCCGGAGGCCGCATCATGACCTTCACCAGTGGTGCAGCCACTGAGGGCCCTGGCCACGTTGTTTCACCTGAACTGAAGGAGCCTATTCGTTCGCACCACGATATTGAACGGGACAATATCAAATACTACAAGAAGGCTGTTAAGGTCGGTTCTCAACGCGTGAGTGTATTGGATTTTGCTAATTTGATCCTAGTTCTATGACGCCCTCGCCAAGCGCGCTGCCAACAATGGCCATATTGTCGATATTTTCGCCGGCTGTCTTGATCAAGTCGGTTTGCTGGAAATGAAGAACCTCTCCAACTATACTGGTGGTCACATGCTTCTCACCGATAGCTTCACATCCTCACAGTTCAAGCAATCGTTCGTGCGCGTGTTCGACAAGGACGCCGCTGACAACCTCTTGATGGGCTTCAATGCGTCCCTCGAGGTGCTCACGACCAAAGAACTCAAGGTTACTGGTCTGATTGGGCATGCTATCTCGCTGAACAAGAAGTCAAGCTCTGTTGGCGAGACGGAATGCGGTATCGGTAACACCTGTGCATGGAAGATGTGTGGAATGGACCCATCCTCTAGCTACGGTATTTACTTTGAGATTGCGAACCAGGGCGGCCCGGCTGCTGTTCAGCCTGGTCCTCAACGGGGTATGATCCAGTTTTTGACATACTACCAGCATTCCTCTGGGCATTATCACCTGCGAGTGACCACCACTGCCCGCCCCTTGAGCGGACCTGCGGGTGACCCAACCCTGGCACAGTCCTTCGACCAAGAGGCTGCCGCTGTCCTCATGGCCCGTATTGCAGTGTTCAAGGCGGAGGTTGATGACGGTCCAGATGTCCTGCGCTGGGTTGATCGTATGCTGATCAGACTCTGCTCCCGATTCGCTGACTACCGGAAAGATGACCCGACATCATTCCGATTGGAAAAGAACTTCACCTTGTACCCTCAGTTCATGTTCCATCTCCGCCGAAGTCAGTTCTTGCAGGTTTTCAACAACTCGCCCGATGAGACCGCTTTCTACCGCCACGTCTTGAACCACGAGGATACTGGTGACTCTCTTGTCATGATCCAGCCCACTCTTGATTCGTACTCTCTGGAGCAAGAGGGTGCTCAGCCAGTGCTGCTGGACTCCGCTTCTATCCAGCCCGCCCACATTCTCCTCCTTGATACCTTCTTCCACATCCTGATCTTCAACGGCGAGACGATTGCCGAGTGGAGGAAAGCCGGATACCATGAACAAGAGGGCTACGAGAATCTCAAGTTGCTTCTTGAGCAGCCTAAAGAGGATGCTAGGGTTCGTTCCCACCTTTCTTGCTGATCTTTAACCTATTAACTGACTGTGTATTATAGGATCTTATTTCCGACCGTTTCCCCCTGCCGCGTTTCATCGTCTGTGATGCCGGTGGTTCCCAGGCGCGTTTCTTGCTGTCCAAGTTGAACCCGTCGACCACCCATACCACAGGTGGCTACGGTGGCGGTGTCTCATCGCAGACCATCTTCACTGATGACGTATCGCTCCAGACATTCATGGACCACCTGATGAAGTGAGTTTTCCTGCAATTCCGATGGATCCTTCCATGCTAATTTTATTCTAGACTTGCTGTATCTGGAACCAGCTAGGTGTTATGAGACATGGCCATGAGAGCAAGGGCGGTCTGTCATCGACCCTCGGGTCTTGTGTATCTTTAGCGGTGATTTAACTCTTTTGACGCGATATAGTAGAAGATTGAATGGACTATACCATTACAGGAGGATTTCTTCTAATATCTTGCAATATTTATAACTAAAAGCCCCGAAGCGCCGAGCATAAAATAAATAAATACCCAAAGAGGCAGGGAGCTTGATAAGGGTTTCGCTGTATCACGTGCTTAAGCTTGCGTGCCCTAACTCCAAATTTGAACATTCGCTTAGATGAGCAAGTGTGGGCCGCGCTAGCAGCGAGTCTCCTTCAAGTTTGATTTTTTTGCTCCTTTTCTTCTTCTCCTCTGTAACCACCCTCTTCGACAACCAAGGAAGATCGACTACCTTTCGCACTCGCCATGCGTAAGTATCATCTACTTGGCCTACTGCAAGATGGCGACTAACATTCCCTCGTGATCAGCTCCCAAGTTCGATCCCAATGAGGTGAAGATCATGTAAGTGAATTTTTCCCCACAGGTCCTCTGGCTGTACTCAGCCAACAGGAAACTAATCGTTCTTTTTCTTTAGCCACCTGCGTGTGACTGGTGGTGAGGTCGGTGCTCAGTCCGCTCTGGCCCCCAAGATCGGTCCCCTCGGTCTGTCTCCCAAGAAGATTGGTGAAGACATCGCCAAGAACACTGGCGACTGGAAGGGTCTCCGCGTCACCGTCCGCTTGACCATCCAGAACCGTCAGGCCGCCGTCTCGGTTGTTCCCTCCGCTTCTTCCCTCGTCATCAAGGCCCTTAAGGAGCCTCCCCGTGACCGCAAGAAGGAGAAGAACATCAAGCACTCCAAGTCCATCCCCATGGATGAGATCATCGAGATTGCCCGCATCATGCGCACTCGCTCGATGGCCAAGGAGCTCCGCGGTGGTGTCCTCGAGATTCTCGGTACTGCTTTCTCCGTCGGCTGCCAGGTCGATGGCCGCAGCCCCAAGGATGTCTCCGACGACGTCAAGTCCGGCGAGATTGACAGTGAGTTTTATCCATTCATGAGCGATTCGATCAATTACTAACAATCTAATCAGTTCCCGAGGAATAAATTATTCTCTCTTGAATGCTCAAAAAAGAGGAGGCCTATCTGATTTCTATGGCGTGCTTCTCTTAATGATGAGATGGCTAGTTGCAGAATACGAATGGTTACTCAAAACCAACAAAATATTCATGAGTCATGACCTATGATACCTTTTCCTAATTCGCGAGTGCCCAATTGGAACAAATTGACCAGCTCGCTGCTCGTTGTTTTTCCTCGTTCCTTTCCGGTTGTATTATCCTCCTTTCTCCCAATCCCTCTCGTGATCCTCCCGCCTTCTCCTATGGCGATGAGAATAATGGAAGGCTATGCCCGGCGCAGCCGACAGTCCATCCTTTGGATGGAACCCCCACAACACTCTGGCCCTTACTGTTCTTTCCCTACGGGGCTTGATCATATCAAAACGTGGTATAGGCTTATTTTAAGTGGGGAAGAGAAAACCAGTCCCATTACTCATCGCGGTATCCTTGGAGCTTGTCTTCGTGGGTGCAGTGGTCCATATTTCGGGTCTACATCTCTTGCAGATGATTATTCTTATCTCTCGTAGGCTGTAGTCTAGCTAGCTCCAATGAACGCTTCTGA